GTCCAACTGGACTGAACTGAAATCCAACACGTGCGACGGATCACCGTGATACTTCCCGAGCATTGAAACATGAAATATCGGATGAACTCCTGCCAAGCTGGGAGGTAAGGCAAGCTCATAAACAACCTCCCCAACACGCTGCAATATCTCAAAGGGACCAATAAACCTCGGACTCAATTTTCCTTTCTTTCCAAATCTCATAACGCCCTTCATAGGCGAAACTCGAAGCAAAACCCGCTCTCCAACCATATAGGAAACATCACGAACCTTCCGTTCTGCGTAACTTTTCTATCTAGACTAGGCTGTACAGAGTCTATCCTAAATCACCTTAACCTTCTCCAAAGCATCCTGAACCAAGTCTTTGCCTAATAATCTAGCCTCACTCGGCTCAAACCAACCCACTGGGGATCTAAACCGCCTACCATATAAAGCCTCGTACGGTGCCATCTGAATGCTGGACTAATAGCTGTTGTTGTAGGAAAACTCTGCCGGTGGCAAGAACTGATCCCAAGAACCTCCAAACTCCATCACACACGACAGAGCATATCCTCAAGAATCTAAATAATGTGCTCGGACTGTCCGTTTGTCTAGGAGTGAAATGTTGTACTCAACTCCACCCGATTACCCAACTCATATTGTACGGCCCTCCAGAACCGTGATGTGAACTGAGTACCTCTATCTGAAATGATGGAAACTGGAATACCATGTAGATGAACAATCTCCCGGATATAAATCTCCGCCAATCGCTCTGAAGAATAGGTAGTACACAAAGGAATGAAATGCGCGGACTTGGTCAGCCGATCCACAATCACCCAAATGGCATCGAACTTCCTTAATGTTCGTGGGAGTCCAACTGCGAAGTCCATGGTGATCCTCTCCCACTTCCACTCCGGAATCTCTATCTGTTGAAGCAACCCACCCGGTCGCTGGTGCTCGTACTTCACCTGCTGACAATTGAGACACCAAGCTACAAAGCCAACTATATCTTTCTTCATACGCTTCCACCAATAGTGCTACCTCAAATCCTACTACATCTTCGCGGCACCCGAATGTATGGAATACCGCAAACTATGGGCCTCCTCTAGAATCAACTCCCGAAGCCCATCAACATTGGGTACACATACCCAATCCTGCATCCTCAATACCCCGACATCACTAATAGTCACATCTCTGGCATCACCGTGCAGAACCTTGTCCTTGAGGATGAGCAAATGAGGGTCATCATACTGACGCTCCCTGATACAATCAAATAAGGAAGACCGAGAGACCACATAAGCTAGAACCTGATTGGGCTCCGAAAGATCCAATCTCACAAACTGGCTGGATAAGGCCTGGACATCCATCGCCATGGGCCTCTCTGCTGTTGGTAAATAAGCCAAACTGCCCAAACTCTCTGCCCGACGACTCAAGGCATCGACCACCACATTGGCCTTGCCCGGGTGATACAAAATAGTGATATCATAGTTCTTCAGCAGCTCTAACCACCTCTTTTAACGCAAGTTAAGGTCCTTCTGCTTGAACAAATGCTGCAAACTCTGGTGATCAGTAGAAATCTCACAAAGCACACCGTACAAATACTGGCGCCAGATCTTCAAGACGTGAACAATAGCAGCTAACTCGAGATCATGGACATGATAATTTTTCTCTTGTACCTTCAACTGTCTGGACGCGTAGGCAATCACCCTACCGTCATGCATTAAAACCGCACCAAGGCCAATCCTCGAGGCATCACAATAGACAGTATAAGGCCCCGAACCTATAGGCAATATCAAAACTGGGGTTGTAGTCAAAGATGACTTGAGCTTCTGAAAGCTTGCCTCACACTCTTCTGTCCACTGGAACGGAGCACCCTTCTGAGTTAGTCTGGTCATAGGGGCTGCAATAGATGAAAACCCCTCAACAAATCAATGGTAATAACCCGCCAAGCCAAGAAAACTGCGGATCTCTATAGCTGAGGATGGTCTGGGCCAACTCTGCACTGCTTCCACTTTCTTCGAATCCACCTGAATACCCTCTCTCGATACCACGTGGCCTAAGAATGCCACGGAATCCAACCAAAACTCACATTTCGAGAACTTTGCATATAACTTTTTTTCCCTCAAAGTCTGAAGCAATGTCCTCGAATGCTGCTCGTAATCTTCCCTACTCCGAGAGTATACCAAAATATCATCAATAAAGACAATGATGAACGAGTCAAGATATGGCCGGAACACATTGTGCATCAAATGCATGAAGGCTGCTGGGGCATTGGTCAACCCAAATGATATAACAAGGAACTCATAATGATCATATCAAGTCCTGAAAGCAGTTTTCAGTATATCTGGCTCCCGAATCTTCAACTGATGGTAACCTGAACGCAAGTCAATCTTAGAAAACACTCGTGCACCCTATAGCTAGTCAAACAAATCATCAATACGGGGCAAAGGATAACAGTTCTTTACTGTAACTTTGTTCAACTGGCAATAATCAATGCACATATGCATAGAACCATCCTTTTTCTTCACAAACAAGACAGAAACACCCCAAAGTGATACACTAAGCCGAATAAAACCCTTATCAAGCAATTCCTGTAACTGATCCTTCAACTCTTTCAACTTAGGAGGGGCCATACAATATAGAGAAATAGAAATGGGCTGAGTGCCCGGCAACAAATCAATGCCAAAATCAATATCTCTATCGGGCGGCATGCCTAGAAGATCAGCTGGAAACACATCAGAAAAATTTGTATTACAGGGACTGAATCAATTGTAGGGGTATCAATACTGGCATCTCTCACATAAGCTAGATACACGTCACACTCCTTCTCAACCATATGTTAAGCCTTAAGGAGTGAAATAACTCTACTGGAAGTATGATCTAAGGTACCCTTCCGCTCTACTCACAGTACACCTGGCATAGCCAGCGTCACAGTTTTGGCGTGACAATCAAGAATAGCATAATGGGGCGAAAACCCGTCCATGCCTAAGATAACATCAAAATCTATCATGCTGAGTAATAATAAATCAGCTCTGGTCTCAAAACCACTAAGAGCAACCACACACGACCGATAAACGCGGTCCACAACAAGAGAATCTCCCATAGGAGTAGAAACATAAATAGGGGAACTCAAAGAATCCCGAGATACACCCAAATGCAGGGCAAAATAAGAAGACACATAAGAATAGGTAGAGCCTGGATCGAATAAAACCGATGCATCTCTATGACAAACCAGGACAATACCTGTGATGACAGAATCAGAGGCGACAGCCTCGGTGCGGGCAAGAAAGGCATAATATCTGGCCTGGCCTCCCCCTCTAGGGCGACCTCTACCTCCCCGACCTCCACCTCTAGCTGGCTGGGCAGGTTGGGTAGCAACTGGTGCTATAATCATAGCCTGAGAATTCTACGAGGCACGCTATGGCTGAGAAGTCAGTGGAGGTGCACCCCTCCTAAGTCTGGGGCAATCCCTCACTATATGGCATGTGTCACCACACTCAAAACAAGCTCTGGAAGGAAGTGGCTGCTATGACTAGCTCAGGTCAGGTCTGCTGGACTGACCACTGAAAGCACCCTATGTAGGAAGCGCACTAGATACTAGAGGTTCATAATAAGGTTTATAGGGTCTATGAAGAGCTAGAATACCATTGGCAGCTGGAAGAGCTGAATGAACGGGCCGACTCATATAACCCCTACTATGATGAACTGCAGCTGGAGCACGAGCACTAGAATAATGGCCCGACTCTCGAGACCCCTTGGCCTCCCTCTCCTTTCTATCCCGAGCATGCATACCCTCCACTCTCCTAGCAATGCTCACTACCTGTTGATAAGAAATATCCATCTCACGAGCCATGCTAGACATGATGTTGGGAATGATCCCTTCAATAAATTGGCGAACCCTCTCGCGAACTCGCGAATAGTAGAAACCAAAGTTGGTGCATGCCTAGCCAAGATAGTGAAATGAACAGCATACTCTGATACAGTCATAACACACTGGCGCAAATGTTCAAACTCTGCGCGCCATGCGTCCCTGAGGCTTTGAGGAACATACTCTCTCAGGAATATATTTGAAAACTGAGTCCAAGTTAGGGAAGCTGCCTCATCCAGACTATTTAACTCATAAGTACACCACCACTTATAGGCGGCTCCTCGAAGCTTGAAGGTAGTGAAGAAAACCCCGCTCGATCCTGATATACCCATAGTACGGAGGATACAGTAGCACTCATCTAGAAATCTCACAGCATCATTTGATGCTAGACCACTGAATACAAGAGGCTTGTACTTCTTGAACCTCTCAAGCCTCTGATGCTCATCCTCGGAAGTCGTTGCCCTGTCCTCAGGTTGATCTGGAGCTGCAGGCTGTACAGGAATAATCTCTAGGACCTGATCAACATGTACTCGCTGCTCAGGAGTGCAGGCGACAGGAGTCTATGCTCCTCCCCCGGCCTGAGATGTGGTTGCAGTAAGGGGAAGCAACCTTGCCTGAGCCAGAGTGGTGTGCATGCTCATGAACTATGCAAGAGTTTCTGGAAGAGCTGGAGTAGTAGTAGCAGTAGACGTATCAGGTGTCTGGACTCCAACTGGAACTGCTGGTGGCACCTCGGTGGCAGCTCGCACGGGTGCTCTGGCTGCACCACGACGCGTCCTCGACCTCTACCCCAGCCCCAGCCTCTGACGGCTCCAGTAGGGGGCGCGAGTGCCTGATCATCTCTGGTAACACGTGTCCTCACCATCTGTGAGAGAATAGAAGACAGAAGTTTAGAATTGTGAATCAAAAATCTCGCACGACAAGGAAATCAAATGAAGTGGAATTTTCCTAACAGTTTCAAAACCTCTCGTAGATAAGTACAGACGTCTCCGTATCGATTCGTGAGACTCTAATAAACCAGCTTGTGATTCATAACTCCTATAACCTAGAGCTTTGATACCAACTTGTCACAACCTTAGTTCGTCCTACGTGAACTATCGTGATGACACCTAGTCGTAAGCCTAATAATTGCGGGAAAAGGGAAAATAGATAAAACTAATAAAAACTGCGGAATAAACATAATGAAGGTCTAAAATGTCGCTCGGCATATACAAATATAACTCTAAAACTGAACACTTACCAAAACCCAAAATCTCATGAAATCATAAGCTATTAAATAACTACAAGTGTCTAACTCCAGAATATCTAAACAAAAGTAAATACATAAAGGCTATAACTATAAGAGAGAATGGAGAGAGATTTCTCGATCTGCAGACGCGACAGATATACCTCGAAATCTCTGAAGAATCGCTTCGCCTCAAAGATAGTAGGACTGAGTCGAAGAACCTGGATCTGCACACGGGGAAAACATGTGCAGGAAAGAGCATAAGCACACCACAACGGTACCCAGTAAGTGTCAAGCCTAACCTCAGTCGAGTGGTGATGAGGAAGGTCAGGACCCTACCGATCATATACAATAATATATAAGGAAAAGAAGCAGTATTAAAGTAACACAGGGTAATAAGACTAGAAACAACTATAACAAAGACGAAATAATCACAGAAGGAATACAGCTCAACACAGAGATAACTAAGGATCTCCCAAGATACCGTCTTGTAGTCCCCAAATGTAAATATCCAGTGGATTTCCCGGGTGTCGTCCCGTAGTCCAATTCATAGAGCGCGGGGATCTACCGGAATCCCGATCAATAGTCTCAAATGTAAATACTCAATACTTGGGAAATCTACCGAGTGCAGTCCCGTAGTTCCAATATAAATGTCGGAATACAAATCCGTAGTCCCAAAGTAAATATGCAAGAGGATCTCCCGAGATACCGTCCCGTAGTCCCAAGGTAAACACACAGCAGCAACACGAAAAATATTCAATTAAATCCAAATGTCATACCAATGTAAACAGGTATTTCTAACCTAGCATGCTGCACAGAGTTTAAATAAAGCAGTTTGAGCAAATAAAGCAATTAAGTCAATTAGACATGCTTTCTTAAGCTAACAGTAGACTTAAATTGCAAGTAGTATAAACAGGGAAGAAAATACAATTATAGTTATGTAATGAAAACAGAATTTTCAACAATTAGCACATGTACGCACTCATCACCTCATGTACAAGGCATTTCATATATCAACAACATCAAATCCTAAGGGGAGTTCTCCCACACAATGTTAGACAAGCCACTTACCTCGAACCGGCTCAAAAATCAACCCGAAACCACGCTCTTGCCACGAGTACTCGGCTCCAAATAGCCCAAATCTATTCAAATCAATTGCATAATGTAAATATAATTTCAAGTAACTAATTCCACTAGTTAATTCGAAGCTAACACGCGAAATTAAGAAAATTATCCAAAAAGCCCCCCGAGCCTATGTCTTGGAATCGGATAAAAGTTACGGATTATGAACCCACATTCACTCACGAGTCTAACCATACCAAAATTATCCAAATCCGATGTCAAATCCCCAATCAAAACTCGAAAATTAGGCCTAAAAACTTTTTCAAATTTTTTCCTAATTTCTCACCCCAAATCCAAAATTATATGATGAATTCATGTTTAGATTAATGGGTTATAAGCAAAAAGAAGTAAGAATCATTACCCGCAAACTTCCTCCGAAAATCTTTCAAAAATTCGTCTCCTACCGAGCTCCCAATTCAATTTTGTGATATGAACTCAAGACCCTCGATTTTGAACTTTATGTTCTGCCCATACACGACCTTAATCGCGAACGCAGCGTAGCCCACGCGTTCGCGATTCAACTTCTACCAATACTACGCGTTCGCACTCCCTTTCCTGCGATCGCGTAGAACAAAATCCCTTCTACCTCATCTAAGCCTTCGCGATCGCAAGCTTCCTCACGCGATCGCGATGAAAAAAAGTCTGCAACAGAAAACCAGAAAAAAATTGATCGTTCTCCAAGTCCAAAAATGGTCCGTTGAGCATCCGAAACACACTCGAGGCCCCTGGGACTTCAACCAAACATGTCAACCAATCCTAAAACATCATTCAAACTTGTTACAACCTTCGGAATGCTCAAAACAACATCAAAACACCAATTTAACATCGGATTCAAGCCTAAGAACTCTAAAAACTCTCAAATTACGCTTTCGATCAAAAAGCCTATCAAACCTCGTCCGAATAACCTGAAATTTTGTAAGCACATCACATTCAACACTACAAAGCTACTCCAACTTCCGGAATTTCATTCCGACCCCGATATCAAAATCTTACTATCAAACCGGAAACTTCAAAAATTCAACTTTCGGCATTTCAAGCCTAAATAAGTTACAGACCTCCAAAATGTCATCCGAACACACCCTAATTCCGAAATCACCCAACGAAGCTAACGGATACGACGGAATTCCATTCCGAGGCCGTCTTCATACTGCTCCGACTACTGTTTAATTTCTAAAGCTTAAGCTCTCTTTTAGGGACAAAGTGTCCCAAAACACTTCGAAACTCAAAACAAATCATCTCAGAAAATCAAAATAGCAGAAACAAATACGGAGAAAGCAGTTAATGGGGGATCGAGACATTAATTCTTAAAACGACTGGTCGAGTCGTTACACAAATGTCCTTCCCATTTTTCTAACTTCCTATAAGTCGTGAAGTTTGTCATACAAAAAATAAGCTTCTGTGAAACGAACACCTAGTCAAGAAATGAGTTAAGAAGCACAACTTACCCCTTAGTCATACCAACACAACAATCCTGAAACCTCTGCCCACATATTCACCAGTGAAAGAAATTTTCTTCACCATGCTTGTTTGCACCCCAAATAGATCATGCATCATGAAATGGGAAACAAGAAGAAGTATAACAGAGATAGTTCTGACTAGTCATTAAATTTTTTTTATAATGATAAGAAATGTCTAGATGCTTTAGATAAGACTTCATTAACTCAAAGTCGGAACAAGTAGCTAAAGTTTAATCTCTAGATTTTCACTGATAATCATGGTTAAACAAGCATGTTGGAATTACTTAGACGCTTTATTCATTTGATCAAAAGTACTCATGAATAACAAGAAATCCAAATATATTTGTAGAAGCAAACACAAGGAGTGCTTTACCTTCACGAATTAGCTCAAATCTTGGATGATCAATCCATTGCTTTAGATTATCCTTTGATCCATTGGAGTAATTTTCTACAACAACCACGTGAGCATATGCAAAAGTTAATGTAGTTGTACTCAAGCTTCTAATCATTTTTTATATACAAGAATGCAATATTTGCAAATATACAACAGAAAATCAAACTTAGAAGACTGTACCTCATTCTTCTCATTTTACATTAGTTTGTCAACAAAGGCGAGAGCCGATAGTCTAGACCATCTACCAAATTTCTCATGTTGGTCAGTGATTATGGCAGTTCGTGAATAGTAAACAATGCTAATTAATATCAGAAAATCACAATAGTATCCCGTAAAGCAGCCTCGATTAAACATTAACTAGAGTACTACATTATGAAGAGGTTGGAAATCAAAATTTTACTTAATTGTAATAAGAAAGAAAACAAGAAATCAATTCCTAGACCGTTGGACCATCAATCTCCAAGCTGGACCAACTTACAAACAATTCAAAAATCAAACCCAAAACTTAGTAGCGATCAAAGTCGTTGGACAAAGAAAGAGTGTATTGCCTTGTTCCCCGTACTTCAAAATTCTAAATACATAATCCATCCAATAGCCAAAATAGGAAAACCTTCAATCAACCGTAAAAGACCAAAGATCTCCCAAATACCACCTAATACAAATATAAAGTCTCTCACTAGAGAGCCTCCATTTAAACGCGCACAGTATTCTACTACAACAATTCTTAAAAGGGTAAAATTTGCAATTAGACCTCAAGCGAAGGAATCCACACAAAATTGAACCAAAATATAACACAATAGTAGTAATAATACATAAATCCACAAGCATATCTTAAACAATTTCGAGTACGAACTCTGTAACGAATAGTAGACAAAGGAGATATAAAGCAACTGAAAATAAAAAGAGTATAAGTACAAACCTTTGTTGTTCTGATTGCGCCGACTTTCTCTCGGTAAAGAAGGCGATGAAGAGAGGAAATTTGGGCCTGAAAGATTTTGTGAGTTGGGGAGAGGGAATTGTAATTTCCAAATTACCCCGTAAGGTGCCAATTAAAACCTATAAAGATATTGTCTTTTAGCGTCTTTCTTTACTTCTAGTTTTCTCTTTTATTTCCTTTTTATTATTTAAAAGAAAGAAACTTTGACAAATAAAATTAACTTACTAATACAACAAACTTAAACGTAATTGATATATACTACTATACAAAAAAAAACGAAAAACAAAAGATCCAAACAAATAATAAATTAAATATAATACAAACTTATTAAAACTCATTAAAATAATTCATTTAATATTCAAATTGCTAAATATTCTTGATTACATAAATATGACAAAATTATAAAAGTGCTAATATTTTTGTCTTTATTCACAACTCCTAAAATTATGAAAATAAAAGACACTCATGTGCATATATTTGTATTTTTTGTCATGACCAAATTTCCAACCAAAAGGTCGTGATGGCACCCAATATCGCTTGCTAGGCAAACCAATATGTAACAAGACTAAATCCAACAACCATCTAAAATCTTCCCAGAACTAGTGTCACCGAGTAAATGAGCTTCTACAGAACTACTAAATACAATGTCTGAAATAACAAATACACTGTTTGATACGACTAAACAGTATAAAATCTAGAAGATGGGTGACATCAAGACCTGCGGACGATAATGCAACACTACCTCGAGTCTCCACAACGAAGCAAGCTAGTTCATCCTTTGAGTACCAGTAAGGAATCTGATGCCAAAATCTGCACAAGAAGTGCAGAAGCGTAGTATGAGTACAAGCGACCCAATATACTCTGTAAGTGTCAAGCCTAACTCCGACGAAAAAATGACGAGGCTAAGACAAGACACCTACATATAAAATTGTGCACTTAAGTAACGAGAAAATAAAGAGAGATATAGCAATTAAGAGAACAAAAAAAAAGTAGCAACTAAGATAGCGATTAGGTAACACGTGAGTGTAGTAGCAGAATAAATAAAAGGAGGAATAATGAAAGAATTAACGAAGGAGTATAATGATGTAAATAACACTAAACAAGTCTTTCACTACAATTCAAGTTTAAGTCATTTGACAATGCGACTATGAAACAACATAGCCAAACTCTCAATCTATATCGTAAAAGTAAGGAATAAGAGATATCAATCAAATGGTACAACATCACTCTTTGAATTATTACTCTCATTCTTACAAGCACGGAAATACCCCTCGTGCATATTACTCTTCCCCACGAGCACAAAAACACCTTTTGTGCAATTCACTCTTCCCACCACGCATAAACATGTAAAGCATTGCCAAGCAAGATGAAAAGAACAAATAATATCAAGAAGAGTGATTGAATATAACTTGCCATAAGGAAAGTAGTCATCACTTATCACCAATCGCGAAATCAACATTTCAATAGCCTTACTACCCAATATCGCAACAAGCTCAACACGACTACCAACATGAATAAGAATAGTCAAAGAGTTTCACAATCTAATTAAAGCATAAAAGTCAGTTTTACCGGTATGCTTAACCCATAGCAAACACATATGCACCCCTCACCTTGCGCATACGTCGCTCCCAACACATAGCAATTAGACGTAGTTACATTCTAATTTCCTCAAATCAAGGTTAATCAAGTCACTTACCTCTTTCTAGGACAAATCAACCCTCAAATACTGCATTGTCTTTAGCACAAGCTTCCAAATTATTCGAATATGGCAAATTAATACTCAAATAGTCAAAATAAGCTTTAGAAACTATCTTTGTATCCAAAAAGTCCGTCTTTAGCATATTTAGAAAGGTCAATAAAAAGTCAACTCGGATCCACTTGGTTGAAATTCGAAATGAAGACTAAATCTTGAATACTACAAGAAATATGATTTTCTGTGACAACGTTTAGTGGCGACTCAAGCAGTTGCCACAAGAAATAAGGTTATTGTGGCGACTTAGAAAGATTGATGCTAAAGCTGAAAGGTTTAGCGGCGACCTTTGTAATCGCCACAGAAAGTAACCTTTAAGAGGCGACTATTTTTGTATCGCCACAAATGTGTATCGAGTTTTCGAGGGGAAATATGGATGTACAAAGTATTTGTGGCGACCTACAGATAGTCGCCACGGAAGAGTCTTTTGGGGCGACTTATAGCTTGTTTGGCCAAGCTTCTTTTTGGCCAAAATTTGAGGTGTTTGGCCAATCTTTTGGAAGGAAAAAAATTGCTTTTGAGGAGAAGCAGAAGCAGTTTTGGAGAAGCAGAAAAAAATAGCTTCTCTCCAAAAGCACTTTTTTGAGAAGCACTTTTGAGAAAAATACACTTAGAAGCAGTTTTTAAAAGCTTGGCCAAACACTAATTGTTGCTCAAAAGCATTTTTCAAACTAATTAGCCAAACACAAACTGCTTCTCACCAAAAGTACTTTTGAGAAAAATACACTTAGAAGCAGTTTTTAAAAGCTTGGCCAAACACTAATTGTTGCTCAAAAGCATTTTTCAAACTAATTAGCCAAACACAAACTGCTTCTCACCAAAAGTACTTTTGAGAAAAATACACTTAGAAGCAGTTTTTAAAAGCTTGGCCAAACACTAATTGTTGCTCAAAAGCATTTTTCAAACTAATTAGCCAAACACAAACTGCTTCTCACCAAAAGTACTTTTGAGAAAAATACTTTTGAAAAAAAGCACTTATCAAAATAAGCTGAGTTTTGGAGCTTGACCAAACGGGCTATTAGTCGCTACAACAAGTGGAGCAATTGTGAATTTTACAATGTTAGTATAATTTGGAAATCCCTCCAGAAATGCAGAAATACAGATCTCATTTCCCCCAAAAACCAAATGGGGGCTTTTCCAGCCTACCCGACGCCCTCTTCCCAAAATCACTTCTCCGGCAAGTTTGATGCGGTGATTTTCCCTCTCCCTTCCAAACTCGGCTCTTTTCTCTTTCGTATCTCCTCTCCTTCGTATCTAGCCAAAATCTATGCATCTACCCAAACCCTAGTGAATCGATTAAATGCAAACAACTCAAATTTTTTGCTTTCTTCTCTGAAGAGGCAAAAACCCTAACCCCTTTGTCTACCATTCCTTCAACCATTTTGGTATTCAGGTTGCTGTTCTTCATAATTCCTGACTTGCTGGTGAGGGTTTAGATCTTCATTATGCAGAGGGTAAATCGCACAAAATCCAGACAGGCAACCTCCCTCTTCCACCTTATTCTGTATATGTTTTTCATATGTAGCTGATTGATGTTTTCGGAATTTCCATTTTCATATTGGTGAATGTGCTTGAGTAGCGTATGTGCCTTCCTTTTTTCCTTTTTATGTGATGCCTTCTTGATCTGTCTAATCTTCTTTATACTTGTTAGGATTGAAGTTCTTAGGTGTCAGAGAAATTTGTTGAATCTTGCTCTTGAAAACAATGTATTCATTTTCTTTTAGCCTCTATCTTATGAAATGTAAATGATTGTATTTTTTTTCTTACTGTTTTAAACAAAAGAAAAAGTAAAGCATGTATTCTTTTGGCTTTCTTTTGTAACGGAAAGTTTAATTATTGGTAGAGCACTCCAGTAAATATCATTGTAGCTTCTCATGTGTGGATTGAGGACCAACCAATGTTGCTTGGTTTGTTGGAGAAAGGTAAATATGTTAGTATTACCTTGTTGATTGGTGGTGGATGTAGTTGATGTTAGATGGTAGTTATGGGTCGTTCAAAGTTTAGATACTCTAGCAGTTCTATGTCCATATACTCATGAGTTTGTTGTGTCCTTGTTACTAGCTGTCCTTATTTTTATGCATTTCTGCAGAATATTGAACAGGGAAAGAGCTGCAAACTAATATGTTATGTACATTCACAAGAATCAATTAATCTATCTGTAGCTTTAACCGGTTCAAATAGACTAAAGAAGCTGGGTACTTTCTGAAATAGTATAAGTATCATATACTATATATGTAGTTGTCTATATTTTCCAACTTTTCAACTAGTTTATGTGAATTGCGTAGCATTACGAGCTGATGGACCAGGGCATTGTGGTTTATTTATAATAGAATCAAAGTTAGTATCTTAGATAATATTAACATATTGTAGGACATAGGATATACATGCTAGTTAAATTTCAGAAAAGTTAATCATCAATGGACCATTATTCCATGTTTGTGCTCTTATTTTACTACGTTTTATTTTGCCATGTGCTTCTGTGAAGTTCTTCCCGATCCATCTATATGGATAACCTTCCATTTGAGCGTCTTTGATGATCTTGTTCAATGTGAATAAATTTATTACTATGTATGTCTGTAGAGTGCTGTTTTGTCGAAGGTAAGTAGTAGGAAATGCATTTCGATGGAAAGAAACCATCAGACCATGGGTAAAGAGGCATGAGCATTTTTAGCGATGGTTACCACTACGGTGATGGTTATTCTTGGGACGTGCTTCCTTCTAAGGTTAGCTTCTTGGTTGTTGCAATTATCACACAAATCAAATATAATGGACTGAAGAAATTCAGCTTATAAATGGTTAACCTCTCTAGTAGACTAAATTGAATAATGAATGTCTTTGTTAATTTTTGGAGCTGCTTTTAGAAGTTAGTATACATTTATGGTGCCTGAAGATCTATTTCAATTAGCTAATGCATTTGAACTTTTTGTTTTGCCTTTGTAGCCCTTTTGGTACAAATGTTCCTGGTTCTATCACTCCATCCCTCATTCTTGACAACAAGATGTTAGCCCTTTCAGTAAGTTTCTTTTAAATGCGTGGTAAAATTTAGTATTAATATCTCTTACTCTATTGCTGATCACCACTTAACGGTTTCATCTCTGACAAGAAAGCATGGTGTGAGTTTACAACATGGGATAAGAATAGACATTCCTTAATGAGAAAATATTTTTTTTTGTATTTTGATGCAAGATATACTAATTGTTGGGGAGGCAGATGAATCAAAGATAACACTGAGAAGGGAACTATGATCAATCTTCCTTCTAATAGATTCACATAACTGAATATGTTTCTGGACCCTCTGGTTGCACAAACAGTTTTGAGTTCAAAATTTAATAGTACTTATTTCCCAAGGCATACAGTGCAAATTCAGTTTAAGCCCTGAATATCTTGACAATCACTTGGCACAGTTCTGTAGTTCTAACTGACGTTTCTTTTTATATGCTTTCCTTTAGTACTTGACTTAGCATCAACACTTTTTTTTAGTGCACATTATATTAATGTTCTTTGTTTTTTCAATAGCAAGGATAAAGTACTTCAACAACTGGAAAATAAAATGAAGTTGCTCGAAGACAAGTTTGAAGATATGATCCTTTGTATTTTTTCTTAAAATAGCAGTATAAAGTTCTTCAACAAGTAGGAGCTCAAAACATTTGATTTCTTTTTTTTCTCTTTCCATGTGCATATACAAAGTACAATGTATTATGGAGCGTCGTATACTTTGATGTATAGACTATTTGGTAATGAAAACTTCGTACATAATTTTGTTTAAGCGTATTTGATGGTTTTCATGATTATTTTTGTCATGTTGAGCAGCTAGCAGGAATAATGATGCCCATTAAATTATTATTATTTTTTTTTAAAAAAAAAAGCCTTTAGTGGCGACCTTAGTTGCCACAAAAAATAAACAGTCTCAGTGGCAACAAAATTGTCGCGATTGTTCTAAAAGTAATTATTTTGCAGCGACTTTCCCCAATCTATTTTGTGGAACATGTTTTTGTTGCATACTAATTCACTTTATGCCGCGACGAAAGTCGCCACAAATGCCTATTAATTGTGGCGACTCTCCCTAGTCGTCACAACTAACATTTTGTAACAGATGTACATGCGGCAAGCCTTGGTCGCCGCTATAACCATTTAGTGGCGACTTTTAGGGCTTTTGTAGCGACTTTAGTCGCCATAAAAAGTCAGATTTCTTGTAGCTCCAAGTCCAAATATGTGATTTGTTTTGAGATCCGACCTCAATTCGATGTCTAAATCTATAAAATAGAAAAATCCTAAGTTTTACCCAAAAGCCCTATTTCTATTAGATGAAATCTTATATTTAGGGATGAAAATCAACTAAAAGTAATGAAAATTTATAAGAAACAAGTTAAAGTTACTAACCCTTGAAGACGGGAAACGATTTCTTTTCAAAAATCATCTCCCACAAAGTCTAGGTCTTAAAAAATAAAATAAAATAAGCTAATCCCAAATTTTTTTATGTTTACTCAGCTGCAGATGTCGCAGTTGCAAACTTTTGTTAAGCAATTGCTCAGCTTGCAAAAGCGAAACAGTGTTCGCTAATGCAAAAATGACCTTGAGCCTCAGGTGTCACGAATGCGACATAGATCTCGCAATTGGGAGGGTCGCAAATGCGACTCTAGCTTCGCAATTACGAAGCTGGCCACCCCATCCCACCTTCACAAATGTGAGGCCCACTTTACAATTACGAACATCACATTTGCGAGAAGTTTATCATAATTGCGATAATTGCAGTACCAGCAAATTCTAAGTTCTACGAAACCAGTCCGAAATCAATTCGAAACTTACTTGGGCACTTTGGGACTCCATCCAAACATCCACACAAGTATATAAACCTCAAACAAACTAACTCGTAAGTTCAAAACATCAAAATAACATCAAGAACTAAAAATCACATATCAAAACTCAAAGATTTCAAAGTTCTTAAGTTTAAATTTTTACTTTTTATAATAAGCGCCGAAACAGAATCGGGCCACCCGGGACGCCAACCAAATATGCGTACAAGTTCAAAATCATCATACGAACCTAGTAAAATTGTCAAAATACCGATTTGAGGTCGTTTACCAATAATATTGACCGTGATCAACTTCAATTACTTATAACTTTTAAAATCAAATTTTCTTTTAAAAAATCACATTTAAATTTTCAAAAATCAAAACTGACTATGCACACAAATCATAAATCATCGACTAAAGCTATATAAGATCTTAAATTATGAAATGAGAAGTTAGAACTCTAGATGACTTATCGGGTCATTAAAGATTTCTCTTTCGTATTTATGGATCGGTACATCTATATGTCGATGTTGGACATACTAAGTCATATGAAGCGACCTTCCATTTTATCTTTAATATATACGACTTGCACCTTCTGGCGAATGTGGTTAAGTTTTAATCTTATCTAATCTTGAATAATTGCATATCCATCTTAGCATCCGCATTTGCCCAACACATATCTTGTGGATATATTGGACTTTAGCAATTCAACACTCACGACCATATAACATTGTCGGTATTATAACTATTTTAAGGAGTATTTCTTCTCTTTGATGGACACTATTTTGTCACATAACATCCCGGTAGCACTTGTCTATTCAACCATCTGATTTAAGTACTCTACGAGTAACATTTTTATCTATCATTCTATTCTTTTGAAATAACGAGCATAAATATCTAATTATTTTAATTTTGGTACTGCTATTCAGTCTAGTCTCACCTCAACTTCCTCATGGGTTGGCTAAAAGCAAAGCATGTATTCAATAGTACTTCTACTTATCCTAAAATTCTTATGCCCTAAAGTGCTTCTCCATAATTTATGCTTTTGGTTGACCCCTAAATATGGGGGTTATTAACTGCCACAAATTGTATCAAATTGTGATACTTTACAAACTTCCACAATTTGATGCAATTTGCAGAGGTTATAAAAAGCATCCGCAAATAAACCGCCACAATTTTTTTTTTTTATTTCAGGGGTTAAAAGAAACGCCACAAAATGATCTTATTATGGGGGTTCTTATTATCTCACAAATAAACCTTCACAATTAGCCTTATTTCTTATAGTGATCTTATCCTGACAACTAAATAAAAATGAAAGAAATATTTTTTCGTAAATGAGTTTATAAAATATACTACTTATAAATATTTAAAAGCCCAAAATAAAGAAAAGAAATGGGTTGAGTTTGAGTCAAATACAAAAGAAGCCAAGAATTATCCTCCTTCGGACAAAGAGAAGTGACAAAAAAAATAAAAAGTAAACTAAAACTCTAAAAGTTACAACAATAACATATTCATAGTAATTTTGTAAGTCGGGTCTGAGAAAGATAAAGTGTACGCAAACATTATCTATGCTTTTAACAAGACAGAAAAGCTGTTTCCGGCAGACCCTCGGCTCATAAAAAAACTTTGTTGTCCGTATATACATGCTCCTCAAGACATAAGACCACATAAGGGTACATTAAATATGATATATATGGAGGTAAAAAGTAAAAACTGATTGGTGATTATGGAAACAAGGGGTCATTCACGTGAAAAATCTGTATTGAGACAGAAAGTAGAATCTAATCTTTCTTCAGACACAGAGAGAAAGTGAGAGCAAACGAAGGAAGTAAAAATCAGATGAATTTACCCTAGTTACAGGATGAAGCTAGCTAGCACTTTATGGATAGTAGAAAAGATAAGGGTAAAAAATAGAAAGGTCACTGGGGCAGACTTGAATGAAGGAAGCCAAAGCTGGTAAAAGACAAAAGAGGAAGAAGAAAAGAAGAGAAGTCTCTGATCTTGTGTAAAGATACGGCCGTTTGGTCATGGGATAAAGGTTATATATATCTTCGTTTAGAAATTAAAATTAAATTTATCATATGTTTTGTTGTATAGATTAATTAAAATCAGTATGAGTCTCACACTATACATTGAGATTAATAATCCCATCTAAGAAGAGGGATAAAATTATCCTAGAATAAAGTTAAGAAATGACCAGATTATCCGTCTGCATTTTTCACTACCATACATAGGCCTGTTTATACGCTCTTTTGCTCAGTTTTAGTATCATATTATAGACAAGTATGCAGCCCTTTAAGCTATAAGCTACAATTTCCACGTTTTAAAAATGGGGGAGGAAGGGAAAGGGGTAGGTATAGCGTCTTAATAAAGAACGCTATACTTCCCCGGTTTATTTAATTCAACTATAGCATCGTTTAAAAGGACGCTATACTTAACTGGGAAATGGCCGTTAACGTATAGTATTTTTTTAAAAGATGTTATATATAAATTGGTCACCATTTTTTTTCTACAGTACATTTTGGTTCTTTAAGTCCAAAAGAACCACATTTTGGTTCCGGACTCCATTCATTATATATGTATATTCCGTTTTAGTAACAAAGGAACATATGTAAAATAGCCAAGCAGTACGTGAGTGCGCCTAATATTGGTGTTTATCATGTGGCCAGCTTAAGCCAAGACCTTTAAGAAAAAGAAACGCTAATTTGATCATATTCTAGTTTAAAAACTTGTTTTACAAGACTTCTGATTAATATATAATGTCCTGGAATGGTCATGAGATTAAGTATGTACTTTTGCATCTTTATCCTAATTAATTAACGTCAAAACTCAGACAGTGATGGATATTTTAACTACGCTGGTTATGTGAGAGTTGGGTATTTAGGTTTATTATAATAAGAAAATATTGTTGGCTAGAGCTTTCTGGTATTAAAATATTTGTTTCTTTAAGTCATGAAATATCAAAGATTCTTTATTCAAGTTTATCTACCTTTAAGTCAAACACATATATTTGGATAATATACAGTATATTCTACTTTTAATCCAATGAACTAAACAGTAAGCAAAGCAATAGCACTAAATAATCCAATTAATGCCAAGATAAACTTAGGATAACTTTGTTCCCATCAAATTACAAAGACCCATTGTAGGCTTAATGCTTTTTCAAAGCGAAAAAAAAGGAATACTACTTAATAGTTACTACTGTTCTATAAACTACTACATTAGCTAGGGGTATTAATTAATTAGACAAGCATATATGATGGGTATATGCTAAGACAGATTGACGTTCGACATTGGGTATGCATACGCAACTGAATAACACAGAGCTAGCTTATAAGGATTTGAATACTAGACATACGTATAAACGAAGGAGATGATTGATGATCAGTTAGGAAACAGAAATTAGTTGTCTACACCTCCCAGATATATCATATATAAAGAAAACCCTCATACCTTCAGACAATTAATATAATTAGTTGCGCCTGAGGCGGTGGCGGGAGCAGGATTTTCAACGAGGAATGTTCAATATCTATTATATATACATAAAAAAGTTTTAATTGTGATTTTTCAGCGAAGAAAGTAATTACCCCTTCTGCCTCTCTAGCTCCGGCTCCGGCCCCGACCCTGGCTGTAGGAAGTCAAAGACAAACTCAACTCTTTCACCAATCCAAATTTAAAGTAATTCAAATTTTTTGTTAAGAAAGGTTCATATATATATATATATATATATATATATACACTGGTGCAAGCAGTACATAACTATGATACTATAAAAGAACTGAATGAGCAGAAAATAAGATGATGTATCAGTGTTGTACTGGAGTCAGAAAATTGATAGGACAAAGTTATAACTTATAGTATAGTACATTAAAGACACATTTATAAGCTAGCTAGCTTTCATGTCCCTATATGCCTCTTTTTATTGTCATTACTTCAAATCTTAACCAATATTGTGACTGTCTGGTCTGCTGATCGGGA